CAGCTTGATTGATTCATCATTTCAGCTGATCAATCTGTGCCTCATTCAGCAATTTACTGATTAATTTGTTAAGTTTTATACATTGATTCTAGAATCATTCGTTTCTAAATGGACGCATAACCCACACTTATCCGATTCCCATGATTTACCTGAATCATATTAAATGTAGTTCGTTGAAAGGAGATTCATATCCGAAGAAAGAGAAGAAGAACAGATGAATAGAAGATTGGTATCAACCCCATAAGAAACAGAAGATTGCTATCAACAATGGGTACAAAGGTTCAATAAGCTTAGAAATCATATACACCATTAGCCATATCTGTTCATGTTACGCTAAATAATGTTCGCGTCAAAAACGTTTCGTGATCATGCGCTGTGATTGACTTCAATGAGCCGTTGATGCTAATCAAGTATTTCATTTGAACATTCAGATCGCCTGTCTCATCAACGAAACTCTATCAGAATGGCGAATCAGTACAATTATGCCGGTCAACCACCATATCAACAAGGCGCCGGAGGTTACTACCCGCAGGGCAACAATCCGTACCAAGCTGGCCCTCCACCGCCTGGATGGAATCCGCAAGCTGGACAACCGGGCGGTCAGTTCTTTCTTAAATGATTTTAAATCTTTGATTGCCATCCTTATAAAGATGAATTTTACTGACGAGTGTGAACTGAAGAACGATTCTCGTTCATTCTTAACAGCATTGAAATGATAGGATTTTGTTTGTGTCATCAACTTTTTAATGTTTGTTTCATTTTGTCGATAAGATTTTGTTTAATGTCATTAATGTTAGTTTCATTAATTGATGTTTTGTTCATTTTCTGCATGCGAAACTCTAGAAAATGAATGAATGCGCCACGCCACTGTCGAGTGTCGTGATGGAACGGAAATTTCATGTGAAAAATTCAATTTCCGTTAGCAGTCTTACCATAAGATGATGTTTCGTCTCGATTTTCTCTGCAGTGAACGCGTCACTCGAACAGTTTTTTTAAAATTCACCATCGTTTTTCTCTTTGCACTTACTTGCGAATATTTGTGATTGATTTATCGTTGCTGTGACGACCATTTATGAAATTAATCTGCTCAAATGCAAAAATGAACGTCAAATGCACTCAAATAC